ATCCCACGTCGCCCCTGAGGGCGACGACCCGAGCACACAGTTCGATTGATCTCCAACTAAGACAGCCATATTATACAGTGCAGATTGTACTTAAATGTCACTGGTATCATACCGACAGTCTATAAATATTCAGCCTAAATTCAAACTGAACCTTCCAGAATAAACACCGGAACGATGTTACAGGGCCCTTATTTTCACAGCAGATTAGCTAGACACAGGTGAAGGCCCACCAATCCAGACAGCACAAGAACAGGTACGAACCCTCTCAGCTGCTTTCCTGGTAGCCATGATCCCCGCGGGGACGGCAGTCCGAAAAAGTAGCGGAGAAATCCAGACTTGGTGATGAGGTAGGAGATAGTGATGGTGAGGAATGTTGTGATGACCAGCATCATTGGGAAGGAGCGGAGGTAAGGGACCCACAGAGCACCTGAGGCGATCCCAACTATAACCTGCTGATGGATCAAGTAGAATGGCATGGCCATTGTTCTGAAGGTGGTGTGCCATCCTCGAGGTTGGGTGAACTTCTTCCTCGCCAATGCAATAGATCCCATCAAAAAGAGCCATAATCCAATTCCTTGTGCTAAACCCTTTGTGTTACTCCTTACCAAAATTGATTCTAGTAAACCAACTACGATGCACAACACAGTTCCAACGATAAAACAGGTCCAGGACCAAAGTTTGCTGTGCTGTCGTATCTGTTTGTCCGCTGCCCTCGTAGCATAGCCAAGCACGAAGATAACCATGTAGGGGAAGAAAGGGAAGCTGGCCATCAAAAACGCTTCCTTAGGCAGGCCCAACTTGCTGGCCAACTGCACGCAGACATTATCGAGTGTTAGTAAAAGTCCAATCAGTAAACCCGGGAGAAGTGCCAACCTGATTGGTCCACCTAAGAACCATTTAACTGCAGCAACGAGCTGATCAGGTGTTGAAGCTGGCTTACACACAAAGTTAAGACAGCAGAACGACTTGGTGAGACAGTTGAAGGGTTTGCGGGACCAGCAGCAGGAGGTGGAACCACAGTAGGACAGTGTGGTGGTGTCAGCTGTGTTGTGAGCAGGGTGAAACACCCTGAACCAATGTGTACTCACCTGTGCAAAGATAAAAAGATACAGTAGAAACCAGGCCTGGTGCACATTAAAAGTCCTGTAGAAGTCCTGTGTGTAGTCCCAGTAGGATCGTTCTAGAGTCTCATCACGAGGAGCAAAGAACCAGAGAGTGAGAGGGAACTGGGTAACTAGAGACAGAAACAGTGTAGGAACCAGGAGCCGGTGTACTCTCTCGTCCCTGAACTGAGTCTCCGATCTCCGGAACAGAGCAGAGTAAGCGTTCTGTCCGGACAGATAGAAGAACATGGGCATGTTCCAAGTGTCCATGAAGTTGACGAACAGTTGGAGGACATGACCGAGGGAGACGAGAGTGAAGGGGTCCTCGGAGACAGAGCCGGTTGTTATATTAGGGAACTGTAGACCGTACCAGTCGGATGGTGTGTAGATCAGACAGAGGTGGAACAGGTAGATCCCGTATGTAAGGAATATTATAATCACATCAATGTCCGCTCTTCGCTCGGGAGAAGGGTGGTTGTTCTCGGGGAGTCGCTCAGGTAAGGTCATGTCATCCGTCTCCACCTCTGGTAAAGCATCCATAACCGGAATTCTACTAGAATCTCCGACTTCAAGCATTTCTTGTTGTGGTTCTGACATATTCTGCTGAAGGAAATAAACCCTGAGAACAGAATGTTGAGTGTTAAGAAAAGAAATATTGTGGGAATGAGAGTAAAATGCAGAAATCATAAAACCCTATACTACACCACGGCCTATACTACACCCTATACTACACCACGGCCTATACTACACCCTATACTACACCCTATACTACACAACGGCCTATACTACACCCTATACTACACCCTATACTACACCCTATACTACACCACGGCCTATACTACACCCTATACTACACCACGGCCTATACTACACCCTATACTACACCCTATACTACACCCTATACTACACCACGGCCTATACTACTGTAGTAAGTAAGATTTAGGTCTTCAATCTTCATTGCCTTAAAGGCACTGCCCAGTGTTTAGTTGTTTTCCCAGGTTCTTCTTTGTGGGCAATCTTACATCTACAAGGTTTAACTTGTGGTTGTGCACTTTACTTTGTCTTTAGTATCTTTGATTTAGTAGGAGACAAGAAAGACAACAGCTCATCAAAATAATTAAGGACTCGTGAACTTCATCAGAAGGAATAACATGAACAATCGTTAAACATTGTCAGAGTTCCCAGTCGGAACCTCTCATGGCAACACCCCTGTTCATAAACCTACTGGCAGGGAGTCACCAAGAGCTAAGTTTGCAAGGTGCATAGAACTCTGTTTAGGACAAGTGACCAACTCCAAAAGCCTTAGAAGAACTGAGCACAATTATCCAATACCACTAGCTCTGTGATGCATGAGTTAATTCATACACTTCCTGTTTGGAGAGGGCGTATATACTCTATAATGGCAATGATCTAACATGAGAGCTCAGGCATTATCGTATCAACAGCTACATAATTGCCAGCCAAACAGATAGCCTTTCAGCTCTCTGCCAAAGTAATAGAGCGCAATATAAAGTTACTAAGTTAAGAATAAATAGTACTGCTTCAACATAAGATACACTACACTACACCCTATACTACACCCTATACTACACCCTATACTACACCCTATACTACACCCTATACTACACCCTATACTACCATCGTCAAATTTCGGAATTCGAAGACTAAAAAATATTCAGGTAATTGAAAACTGAAAATTACTCAACTACTTTATTTAAGAGGGCAGGAAAACTGCAAATCAACATCTTCAAAACATTTGCACGAAGTTTGTCAAGCTCTATCACAATGTTTGAAACATACATTATACAGTGCAACAGATATTTTGTTTTTAAAATGATCATGTCAAGCAATCGTAACTGAATAGTGAACAGTGAATATGTTGAGGACCGTGCAAAGCTCACCACGAAATTCACTTGACCCAAATGTTAATAAAAATAAACACGTGTTTATTGTTTGTTTATCCACTCGAACTCCAAACTTACATATCTCATTTAGACCTGGGAGTTGCCATGGCGACCTATATTAGTGCTCCACTTCATAAAAATCATCAAGTTCGACACGAGATTTGGGGGTGGAGCTTGCTGCCTCAACTATTAAGTCATCCTCAGAAGCTCCAATTTAAATTCTTATTTTGCCGTAAAATTTGATTACATTCAATGACTAAGATAAATCGGTGATTTTTTCGTAGTCCTAATAAGTTGTTCTACCCCGGTCCACTAATAAAATTTCAGCAAGTACCCTACTACTTACTACCTATCGTCACAGTCTGAAACCCGTCACATTCCATTAAAATCAGCTAGATCTTAATTTCTATCAACTTTTTTTTCTAAAAAAGTATAAGATGGTTAGAAGTGGTAGGATTTCAGGATGGTAGGTTTTTTATGGTGTTTTTTCCTTTTTATTTGTGTCACAAAAGAAAACATGTGCTCCTTCATATTATTCATTATGCATGCTCGTGTAAAGCAAACTACAAGCAGTCAAGTGAGAAGAGCAGTTAGTTACCATGGAAACCGTGAGACCATTAACTCTGAGCGGTGAATCGGAACATGTTTGATGTGGCACTGTGATTTATTAGCGTAGTCGCCCAGGACGGGTAGGTACCGGTGCAGTAGTGATATTACTTTTGTATGGGGTATTTTATGGTCTCTGGTGCAGGGGTTCTGTTGTATATTGCACTAAACTTTAAGTATAGAAGTAATATAATCTCAATATAGTTAAAAGAATTCTCTGTTCGTAATTATTCGAATTTGTTTCTGTAACTTATTGTTAGTTATTTAGTTGTCCTTATTTTTTCTTTATTTTAAATTGAACTGTCTTAACAACACTTACTTATAGCGTTAATAAGTTATTTAAGTTATTTATTGTATGTTATGTCGGCTCCTGGAGGTTTCAGGTAGCTTATTAATAGCTTCATATATGATCATAGTGACCAACTCTAGTACGTAAGAGATATGAAGGAACTATACTATAATATAGTATAATAGTTCCTTCATATCTCTTATTATGGTGTTTAATGTTTTGAGATATTTGCATTATGTGTAACTGCCTTTATAGAGGACAAACTAATTTTAATCCTAAACTATTCTAATTTACAGCACTAAATGATTTGCCGTTTCGTTGAGCAAATTCTCAAATAAGTGGTCCACTGGTTAATTGTACATACTCTTATTTGATTGTTCCACATTCCACAAGTACGCTGGCTCAGACTCGCCATTGTTTTAAATTGATTTTTTAACGATGTCAAATCGTATTATAAGTATTTTAATTTTCAGTTTCAATATTTTAAATCTTCTCCTACATTTTTTGAGCAATCACCCTGAAACTTTTAGGATATGTTCTAAGGACCATTTAGAAGAGAATTTGGGGCCAGAATTTTGAGATAGGCCTTAGAACATTTTTTATTCGATTTTGAAAATCTTGGACCTGAAAAAATCGTCAAAAAACGAGGTCCAAGATTTTCAAAATCGAATAAAAAATGTTCTAAGGCCTATCTCAAAATTCTGGCCCGACAATCTCTTTTAAATGGTCCTTAGAACATATCCTGAAAGTTTCAGGGTGATTGCTCAAAAAATGTAGGAGAAGATAGATTTTTAGACTCGATTTTCAGGGCGCGCGATTGAAAATCGCTTGCGCAATACAATTACACATAAGCGCTGACCTTTGACCGGCAATAATTTCGGCTAAGAACAATATTTTTCCATGGGACCAAAAACAGCTGATAGATATCACTCCCCTCTATCAGAAACAACTATAAAGTCAATTTCGAGAGAATTTTGATGAAGACCCGGTTTAAACGAATTAAAACTATGATTTTCCTGAAACTATTGTACACGATATTTTCCAAAAATCCTCAAAAGCTGTTAGTTTCCATATTGAATGACCTTTATCACTATTTTAGCAAAATGACAACAAGCAACGATGAAGATGCTGAGGTTGCTTACACCTTCATAATCCACACTGGATCAAACCTCCCAGATCAGAAATCAACAAAAAAGTGGGATGATGGCACTATGATCCTGAAGATAAACCCGGGATCTGACACAACAGAATCCAAAGATCTCCGAGTCAAAGACCACTTCCCGACAATGACCGAGGGAGATGTGAGGATTGACCTTTGGCTTCCATCTGTCATTGGAGTGCCAAAACTGCTGAAGGTGGACTTGGAGAGCAACATGCTGGAGATCATCAAAGACGCTCTGTACATCCGGGAAATAACCATTATTTATAACAGGGCCTCTTACCGGTTCCCCATTAAAAACTATCTCTATCCCCACAGCCCTGTCCATAACCCGACTGAACCCAAGATGGGTTGTCCGCCTCATATCCTGGTACGTGAAGGGGCTGGTACACTCCGACACCGTGAAACAGAAGACTTCATCGTCAGGGCCAGAGACGAGGACAGGGCGATTATGCAGTCTATGATAAAGTGGAATGATGCCGAGGTGAACTCTGCCGGACTGCTGTTTCCTGGCTATTTGGGGGTCATGGATTATGATAAACTACCTAGGATCCTCAAATTTAGAGAGGCAACATTAGACAATTTCATGGAGCTGAGGTCATCTGGTAGGAAAGAGGTTAAAATTAATATGCTACAAAACATGGGGGGTAAGGTCTTCGGCACCTACAAGGAAGAGAGATTTGAGTCTTTCGAACAATTCTACTTGTATCTAAAATATAAAGGAGATGAATTGGGCTGGGACAAGGAAATAGTTTATGAGGCAATGAAAGTGGCAAAGATATTTCGGCAAGACGAGGAGTTTGGGAGACAAATACTAAGTGGCTGCAATGCTTGGATGATTAAAAAGGTGATATCTCTCGAAGTGAGGTGGGCCGCAGGGACTGTTCCAATGTACACACTGGAGGGCAAATCTGTCGAACAAGTGTTGGAAGAGGGTCGTTTGTTTGAAGTATCATACGATGACCTGATAGACATTCCCCACGGCGGAGGACTGAGCAAGATGCTGACAGGAACCTCTCAAACATGGTACACAGTGCTCGCAGATTGTCTTTTGTACCAGAGAGATGACGGTAAGCTGGTTCCCATTCTGATCCGACTGGAAAACAGGAATGATGGGGAACCTGAAACCTGGTGGTCACCTCCTGAGCCTGAGAATACTGACCTGAATCACCCCGCACACCTCGCCTGGTTGTGGGCCAAAATGTGGTTCAAATGTGCCGAGGCAAGCTGTAACTTTGTCATCACTCACTTTGCTCGTGCTCATGCCACCAGCGAGATATTTGCAGTTGCTGTTTACAGAACCCTGCCCAACGCCCACCCGATATTCAGGCTTCTTCAACCACACATTATTGGTGTTATCCCGATAAACGTTCAGGGGCGGGCTGTTCTTATTAATCCTAACAAGAACGCATTCGCATGTGTTGTGTCCGCTGGAGACCACCTTGGTAAGGTCTTCCACAACCACTTCAAAAACTTCTCTTACGAGAACCTGATTTTACCAGATGATGTTAAGAAACGGGGTGTTGAAGACATCCCCGAGTATCTGTTACGGGATGATTTCCTCGCACACTGGGCCATTATCCAGGAATACGTTGAAGAGATTGTGAATCTAACATACTTATCTGACGCAGATGTAGCTAAAGATGAAGAACTGCAGAACCTTTTCAAAGAAATTGTTGACTTTGGCTTCCGGGGTTTCCCAAACGGTGCCGGTTTCCCGCGGGTTGTATCAGACAGATACAAGTTGACTGAGTATTTGACAGCAATCATCGTCAACATCTCCACATTCCACGCAGCGGCTAACTTCCAGGTTCTAACAAGTTGCGGGTTCGTCCCAAACATGCCATCCTGCCTCTCCATCCCTCCCCCAAAACAACACGACAACATCACCATGGAACTCATAGTAGAATCTCTACCTGTGCGAGAAATCGCATTCCTCGCTCTGAACATTGTTTACGTGCTCGGCCAGTTCTCTCCAATCGACTGCTTCTTCTTGGAGGATGCCGCAGCAAACAAGCGTGGTATTATCGGAGAGAACATGATAGTAGCTCCGGAGCAGGAGGCTTGCATTCACAGACTGGTTGAGAAAATGAGGCAGCTCAAGGAGAAGATTGATGCTAGGAATGATGGACGGTATTTGAAGTATGATGTGTTGAGTCCTGTTAACATACCTCTTGCGACTGCGACATGATAGCAGTGATAAGACTATTATCATGCGAAAGTAAAATAGCATTAGCATGTTTTAGTTTATATAGCACTTCAGAGGGAAATTTAGAATATAATTTAATTATTAAATTATAATTTAATATAATAATAGATATTTTTATTCTGAACAGATACGAGCGACTGGCACTGTTAAACATAAAGTACGCGAATTTCAATGTATAACTTCAAAAAAATGTGTTTTTGTGTTTGTATAGATTGATATTGAATTAACCTTCAAATAATAATTCATAGGACACAAATGATATGACAAAGTTTAGTCACCTGATATTAAAAGACTATTCAAATAATAGTATCCAATCTCAAATTTGAAATAAAATGTATGTTTGTGTTACAGTGGCCTAGTACAGTGTTACTAAAAACAGAATTAAAGTGTATAAACTACAGTGTTACTAAAAAACCAACCTTTAAAAGCGGGGGTAGATCTGGCTTATTGAGTTCAGGTGTAACTATCTCAACAAATGCTATGTAAAGGAATGTGCCGGTAGCTACAGCTTGTATCAGCCCCTCAACTAGTGTCTTCACCGCCATGTCGGAGTGGGATACTTCTACTCCAACTCCTGAAAATAACAATAGTCAGAGTAATCATAGTAACATTCATTGTAGTCATATCAACAGTAACTGCAGTCATATCAACAGTCACTGTAGTCATTACAACAGTCATTGTAGTCATATCAATAGTCACTGTAGTCATAATAACAGTCAGAGTAGTCATAGTAACAGTCAGAGTAGTCGGGTGGGCGACAATTGACCCCACGACAATTGACCCTCCGACAATTGACCCCCCGACAATTGACCCCCGATAATTGACCCCCCGACAATTGACCCCCCGACAATTGACCCCCCGAAAATATAATTTAATACAATTAACCCTGACCCTGACCCTGACCCTAACCCTGACCCTGACCCTGACCCTGACCCTGACCCTGACCCTGACCCTGACCCTGACCCTGACCCTGACCCTGACCCTGACCCTGACCCTGACCCTGACCCTGACCCTGACCCTAACCCTAACCCTCAGCCTGACCCTAACCCGATTAATTTACCCCAGTTAAACTACAATTGTCGGGGGTCAATTGTCGGGGGGTCAATTGTCGGGGGGTCAATTGTCGGGGGGTCAATTGTCGGGGGGTCAATTGTCGTACTAAGCCCTAGATTTCGCGACAATTGACCCCGGTGTAATTACATAGGGGGTCAATTGTCGGGGGGTCAATTGTCGGGGGGTTAATCGTCGGGGGTCAATTGTCGGGGGGTCAATTGTCGTACTAAACCCTAGATTTCGCGACAATTGACCCCAGTGTAATTACATAGGGGGTCAATTGTCGGGGGGTCAATTGTCGGGGGGTCAATTGTCGAATGTCGGGGGGTCAACTGTCGCGGTACCAGAGTAGTCATAGTAATAGTCAGAGTAGTCATATCAACAGTCACTGTAGTCACAGTAACAGTCAGAGTAGTCATATCAACAGTCATTGTAGTCATTACAACAGTCAGAGTAGTCATAGTAACAGTCAGAGTAATCACAGCTTAGTTGTAGTGAACGGTGGATTTTGACGTATTGAAAGCACGTTCCAGTCATTTTGTAGGGGTCTGTAGTGAACGTTATTGAACGTTAGTGAACGTCAGTGATTATCAAAAACAAAAATTCATGAAAATAAACTTTTTGAAATCTCAATTTCTCCAACTGATAATTATCAATTTGTATTGTATTGTATTGTAGTAGTATTTATGCTACTAAAGGTACACGTACTCAAGTTCGACACGGACTCTAGCTCGACAAACCCTACGGTTCGACTCTGTCGAACCAAAGCGCGCTACCTGGACTCAAGTTCGACACGTACTAAAGTTCGACAAGATAACTTTGACTGTCGAACTAGAGTTTTGAAATCTCCGATCTCAAGCAACGATCCTTTACGAGCTTGTAATCTATTCGTTTGTTTGTTTTCCACTAGTCTCGTGCTGTTCAATCATGTCTGAATGTAATCTCTATAATCCATATCTATAAACATTTAATTGTCCTCATACTCATAATTCAATTGTTAGCTAGCAGAATTGTAGACTTAGCGGAGAGATATAAGACTAACGTAATAACTCGTACTCCGTTTTATAATAGATCTAGATTGTACGCGTTATAAATATCTACCACGTACCACACTTTATATCATCACAAACGACTAGTAACCGAATACCGGTCTAGAGATTTTGGCAGCTGAATCGAAAGGAGAATTAAAACTATACTGAAAGGTTCTTGAATTTATAACCGCTCATGGTTGCTAGATGTCAGAAAATATCTGTATCTGCCATTGAACCCTGTGATCCTATGATGAGGACCCAGCAATAGCCATTGGATCATAAGCAGAAGCTATTTGTCGGACTAGAGTACGCTACCTGGACTCTAGTTCGACACGTACTGAAGTACGACAGGGGTGATATCTGGCGAATTTAATTTTTCGAACTATAGTACGTGTCGAACTAGAGTACGTAAATCCTACTGAACACTACTAGTAATTTATCCATAACGTTCAGAACGTGAGATGATTTTTAGTGAACATATGTACAGAACATTTTTAGTGAACGTTCCGTACATGCACTACAACTAAGAGTCACAGTAAACTCTTTGATCGGCCGATTGATATCTAGAAATCAACTTATAGTTTAAGAAACTTTAGAAATTCTAGAAATATACCTAATTCAGTTTGAATTATACTTTTTTCAGAAAGTTTGCACAAATCTTCATCACCTTTATCAAATAGTTGTAAAAGCACCAGACTGCTAAGTTCCCTCACTTCAACTTCTGGTTAAACCCTCCAATTAATATAACAAGCTATGACCATGAGAGGTGAGAGTGGGTGCTACTCAACAATTCTCATGTATTATTTTTTTTTTGGCGTGGAAACGGTGCGCTAGAGGGTCACTGAACTGCCTATGAGGTCATTTGGGTTGGACGGCACAAACCACTGTTTTGGTGCCCCCTTAAGTGTACCTACAATCAGCACATCACCAGGGAGCAGGCTGTAGATTCTACTTCCTTCTGCTCTTAAAGGAAGCTTCTAGAATAACATTTCTAACTAAGAGATCATGCTACACACAGCACATACCAGAGTGTGACGTAATATATTGAGAATAATATGCAGTGGTCTCGTTGTGAGAGCTGGTGTGTTACCGTAGTGTAAGAGGGGTTTAGTTATAATTAGAAGTGTTTTGTTTTTGAGATATCGTTAGTTCGTTGTGCTTCGTTTTGTTATAGAGAGAGAATCGCAATTGTACAGTATGTAAATGTGTACAATGTACCAACCCTTTTAAACGTTCCGTGCTTCCACATTAAATCTTATCAATAGATTTAGTGCATTTAACCCAGGTGCTATTTTGAATTTAACATATTGTATTGGTCATGTACGAGGTCCTGCAGTTTTTTTTTTGTTTTTTTAAAAAGAGAGGCTGGGCCAAGATAGCCCACGAGAGGATAGCATTGAGATGCTCTGCCTACCTCTGGGGTGTGGCAACCTTGGGGAAGGTTGCCGGTGAAATCAGAGTGATTGGTGGAGGATGGTGTAAGATGATATATGAGTCAAAATGATACGCTTAAATGCCAGCTGGGTTTGGAAAAGTAAAACGAGACGAGACAGCATATGAGATAATACTTTAAGTCACCCCGGTCTGATCCAGCTCTTCCGGCACAATTAAGCGTTTGGTGCGGTTTGCGAAATTGACAATTGTGGTGATGTGTTGGTTGTCGAATATGTCATTGACAGAGAGGTAGTAGTCCTGGAAATATTGACAATAGCTGGACACTGTCCAAGGAAGTGTGAGACAGTTTCCTCTCCGTCGCCGCACATAGGACAAGCACTGGTGTTTGATTTGCAAATGGTGTGAAGGTGTTTGTTTAAGCCGCAGTGACCCGTGATGAGGTGAACTGCAGTTCTGTAATCTTGTCTGTTTTTGCTGAGTGTAGTGTTGAGGTTTTTAATGATTTTGGCGGTCCTGCAGTTGTATTTATCTTAAACTCTTTGATCAGCTGATTTATATCTTTAAATTTATCATTTAATTTATTAATTAAATGATAAATTTATCATTTCAATTATTAAAGAGACAATTAATATTTATCAGATAATGAGTAATGAGTAAAATGTCTTGGCTTCGTGATAGGATTGAAAATAGGGTTGGCAGACCTATTCTGGACAATTATTGCAAAAGAAAATATGGTACTCCTTGTCCAATCATGATGCCCCCGTTACCTGCCTCAAAGTTTATTGATAAGCTCCCAGAAGAAATTGTGTTGAAGGGTGCCAATGTCCAGGAAAAGGAACATCAGGACGCATATGAAGCAGAAGTAAAAGTCTATCGATGTATTGAGGAGATGGAGAGACACTATGTAGTCATTCATCAGTTCGAATATACGCACGAACAATATTCCGCATTTCTCCCAAACCATCAGTGTAAAAAGACAAAAAAGCAGACGAGGGAAATCGAAGGAGAATGTGATTTTGTGGTTGTAGGTGATCAGTTTGTTGCGGTGCTAGAAGTTAAAGGATTATCGTTGCAGTACACAGTAGATGACGGCATTAGGTTTAACGGTTGCTGCAAGAGCGCGCAGAAACAAAGGACAAGAACAAATGATCTAATAAAGTCCATAGAGCCCTCAATGAAAGTGTGCGAGTTCACCGTATTTCCTAATATTTCCAAGGAAGAGGCGAAAGAACAGTTGGAAGAGGCGGAAAAACAGTATCTATTCGATGAAACAATATTGTTCAGTGAAGATCTTAATAACTTTAAAGATATCATTAGCCGCTGTGAAAAAACTGCGTCACTACCATTAACAGGGACAGTTTCGAAAACTTTGAGAGATAGATTGTGTTGCTGTCTTCTCGGACTGTGGTGTATCGACCAACAAAACAGTTGGAAACAATGGGAATTAGATATCTGTAGCTTGTCTTATTGCATCATTGATATAAGTGAGAAACTCAGAAGATCATTGGTTACAAGAAAATTAATCGATGAAGCTAAACACAACGCTTGTCCCAAGAAGAGAAAAGGAAAAGAAAAAGAAAAGAACTATCCAGAAAATCCCCAAATGTTCGTTGCACCAGAACTTTTTAAAGAGCATCTAAAGATAAACTGTCTAACAAAACACCAGTTAGATGTATTCAATAGTAACGAGAGATTCCTGTGGGTTGAGGGCCCCGCAGGAACAGGAAAAACTATTGTAATGTTAGGAAAAATAATAGACCTGGCTCTCAGCACACCACCTGAGAGAGGATTCTTTTAATGGTTACAGGATTTGATTTAAGTCCAATTGTGTCTCATTATATGAAATCACTAAACAGCATCAGTGACGATATAACGTGTGAGAAGATAATGTATGACTACGATCACGAAGAGGGTGATTTTACTGATCAATTAATGGACAAGGCATACAACTCATTATCACAACAAATGTCTAGATGTAAGAGTAAAGTCGTATTGCTGGTCTTAAGTAAAAGCTTATCTAAAAATGTTAACAATTTTCTAACGAGTTTTGATAGTATTTTTGTTGACGACTATCAGATGATCATTGAAAATATCA